TAAGTTTAAAATGTATGGATTGAGGTTTTTGAAATAAAATTGTGGTTAAGTTGAAATGTAGGATAAATATTAGAAAAACAAATTGATAAAATTACAATTTTTATGAGGAATAGGTTGTAGTTTAGCACTTTAGATTTGTTGTAAACATTAGAGTTATGACTTTGTATGTAGGGTTTGAATTTGGGGTTTAGGGTATTAAATTGAAGGTTTGGAGTATAGTGTTTTAGGTTTAAGTCTAATATTCAATATTAAAATTTAAGATTTAAAATTAAATAATTAAAATATTAAGTTTAAGATTTTTAGTTAGAGAGTAGGGTATATGATTAATTTGGGGTATGATGTATATAGGGTTTAGGGTTTTATTGAAGGTTTGGAGTATATTGTGGTTTAGTACTTAGGGTTTGAAATAGAGTATTTAGAGTTTATAGAATAGGGTTTGGAGTTTATAAAATACAACACATAGTATTATTAAATAAAATAAAATTCCAAGGTAAAAATACAATTGAAAAAGATTTTGAATTTAGAGTTTAGAATTGATGTATGTTTTATGTTTGAAGTTAGGGTTTAAGGTATTGAAAAGTTAAGATTTAAGGTTTAGAATGTATAAATTAAAATAAATAAGATCAAATTTTGAGTTTAGTTTTAATTTTAAAATTTAGGTTAAAATCTGAAAAGATTATATATCCCTAAATTTATAAGCAGAAATTATAATTTAATTTTAAACATAATCTTTATAGTATATATTGCAATAAGATTAATAATATAATATACCCTATTAAAACACAAGTAAATAAAAAAATATCATATGCTTTTCCATTAAAGACATAAAAACAATACATGAAACACATGAACTCCATAAGAGAACATGTAACCATTATATCTAGTCATAAACAGAGTCAAAGAACAAGTTAAACTAACTAAATACTAGTAAAAAAGCTTGTCGCTCCTCTGCTTCTCTTCCTCAGTGTCCTGAAACACAAATCGAAAACCAGAATTTTCAGACTGTTATCCAAGAAGTACAGCAAGACATCCAAATAAGAATATTCTAACAGCTTTGTCATTGTTCCAACAAGACATAAATTTAACCTTTAGAAATACAAGACACGAAGACAAAGTACGAACACAAGCTCAAATCTCAGAGACAAACATATACACCTAATAGATTGACAAAACAGACCTTTGAATCCGCAAGTTCTCCGGGATCTATAACGCTTCCAGAAGTAGCTAACTATATGGCATTCTTCATGACAACATATAACATAACATATTAAAGAAAACAAGATCTTGAGGGCACCAGTCAATAAAGAAAGAACAAGACTTGACGTAAAAAACGCACCCTTTGTCTCGTTGCATCCTCAGGAACTTAATTCTTTCAAAGGCTATGTCTCTTTGATGAAGCACACATCAAGTGATGACACCATATTCTCAAGTGAAGCAGGCAGAGACAATGTCTCAGCCTACATCAAACAAACCATTCAACACACTTGTGATAAAAATGTATAAATCAACCAAAAAGTCTCAAAGGAGGAAGCTTTACCCTTTAAGCTTTCAGTCTGTTAGCAATGTGAATCTTCTCACTGTTACAGTTATAAATCTCATCATCAGCTTCATCGATTCTCTCCACACCACTCCTTTTCCTCCTCCTCTCCATCACCGGAAACACACCGTATTCTTCTTCCTTGGTGGAATCTCTCAATGGATCTCCATTTGACTTCCCCATAAGAAGTAATCGCACATACAAGCGCAGTGAAACCGGAGAAACCATCTGGTCCTGTACTAGGAAACCGACAAAAGATAACAAAGATCAGATCTTTATATCAAACCCATGAACAAACAGCAAGATCCGGCTCTTAACTACAGATTCTCATAAGGACATGACAACTACTGCTACATCCTTGTAGATAAGTGATTATCAACAATGAATTTAAGTCTTAAAGATTATTAGAGCAGAGAAAACTAGTACGAGAGGCTAAAAGGAGTAAAATCATTGTTCTACACAACAAACACAATTAAAGCTACAACCTTTAGAACTCAATGAACAAACAAAGCCACTGAATACATTCAGTATCCTATAATCAGAAGAAGAGCGAAAACAAAGAGCTAGCAAACTCAAAACCTAACTCCACAAACAAATCACGAGACCAAAAAAAGATAGAATTGATTCAATTCAATGGCTTACAAGCATAGAACGACCATTTAAGCCACTGAAAACATGCGATTTCATAGAAACTCTAAAAAAGAGAGCGCACAGAGCTACCAAACCCCAAACCTAAATGACGTCGTTCATGAACTACTCGCCGGAAACTGAATCGGTCCACTGTGTCCGCCGTACCATCCCTCATCAGCCACCTCATCTCCACTGTCCCATTCCATTTAATTTTGCAACCAAAACAGGGGAAAGGTAAGACAAACCCAGAAATCGTCTTGGAAACCCTTAAATCTCCTTGAAATTCAGAAGAAGAAGATAATTTTGATTCTGATGAAGAGGAACACAAAGCAATAGAAAGAGAGAGAGAGACAGAGAGTTCTCGTGATGAAATGTGACAACGGACAGATGTGAGATTGAAGAAACCAGAATTTTTGTGTATGGAGTTGGCGTTTGACCCAGGAGCTGGGATCGATTAGGGTTTTATTTATTGTGTGATTGTGTCAGGAATAAAAGAGTTGCGTTTCATTAAAAAAAACATAGAGATGTTATGGCAGAAACCCAAAAATTGGCTTAGTGTTGGCTCTAAAATTTTTTTCCAGTTATATTAGTGATTTTTCTGCGTTCCCGCTTGATAAAATTCTTCCCTATCGCGAAATTAGTGCTATGATAAAGTTGTGATCCGATTTTGACACTTTTGGTAGCAGTTGGTGAATTCGTGCTACCGCGAAGTGCTATCAATACCAATATTTCTTGTAGTGTAATAAAACATTATACTAAAATAAAATAAAACAGAACATACTCTAAGTCCTTATCAAACCAAGGCAGTGTACAAATAAGATTTCAACAAGAAAACAAGACAAAATCAGTAATGGGTTTTTCTGGAACACAAGTCTGCGAACACAATACCACTTGGGTTGAATCGATACATACATAAAGCTCTCTCTATACTTTCAAACATAGGTTAGTAACTTAGTATCAAATAAGCTTAATACACACCAGTTACTTACACGTCAGAACTTAGTATCAAATATGTTGATTACACCAGTTACTTACTTGAGAAGCTTAATCTCTGAGTCTCTGAGTTTGTAGCAGCACTGAACACATAGATCAAAAGAAAGAAACTTCTCAAAATGAGCACGTAGCAGCACTGAAACTTTCCAAAATTCAAGCACAATAATATCCAGACTATTCAGCTTCTCTACAAACTTTTTGTAAAAGAAAGAACTATGAGTACTATACTTGAAAGTTAGAACACGTTACTTTTTTTTGGCGACATTTACGTATTTATTTACCACATAACACATACTGATTTTATGATGATCATTTACCAAATTGATGATCATTTACCACATAACACAGTATGAATATAAATTTATATATTTATCAAATGATCATTTACCACTGTATATTGTCAGTTTTGCATGATATTCTTTATGATTCCTCCTTGTATACTTATATATATGTATTCTTCATAAAGAAACGATTGGATATAATGTCCTCAACATGATCTTTCAATATTTAATACATAAAACTTTTTGACCTAACTCTTATACATAAGGTAGACTATGTCGTTCAAGCACAATAATATCCAATAGAACTTAACTTCAATATACATAAAGGAACAACCAAAAGCTCATGTGGGTTTTGAAACAGAGTTCATCAGAGACTCTCAGTTCATCAGTGTATCAGAGTTAAATGATTTGTAAACCAAAGGCAAAAGACGAATCAAAGCGAACCTGAGAAGTTTCGAAGTTTTGAACCCTAGATCGAAATGAATCCCTGCGGTGTCGTCAAGTAAGCAACTCAAAGTTTTGAACCCTAGATCGATACAGATGAAGATCAAATTAGAATACCCATGTACCCTAGAACCCATTAAAAATGCGAGATCGGAGAGAAAAAGAACGGAAAAAGTTATTACCCTTGAGTTGAAGCGACGAACGGAGAACGGAGAACGGAGAACGAAGAACGGAGAACGGAGATGGTGGACGAACGAGCTCAGAGAAGAATCAGCGATGAGAGTTACAGAGAGTCGGCATCGGCAGAGAAGATCTGAGAAATGAAAAAACATAAACATAAATATTTTGGGGTTTACCCTAAATGAACCCTAAATGTTTTTAAGCCCAACCCTAAATGAACCCTAAATATTTCAGAACTAATGTAATAGGGCCAGGGTAATTAATTTTTTTGATGGGCTCGGGCCAACCCTAACTATCAAGCCCTATACAACAAGTCTAGTAGCATCTATGACAGGATTGACAAAATGCTCTTGCGACAAAGAAAAAAATGAAATTGTCATGACACTAACAGACTAACTTCGAAGTGGCGCAAAACAAAAAGAAAAATTCACATAAATCAGCAAAACACATGAAAACTTACGCGAGAATGTACTTTCTATTGAGAGGAAGAAAGCTAGGCTTCTTAGACTTAGGCTGTGCAAGTAGATCTCTGATTTCAGCCCGCCCAAACCCCGATATGTGCGGTATAACAATCGCTTTAGAACCTCTGTCTCCTCACCACCAATAGAGCTGATACTCTCTCTCAACCGTCTCTAGACCCCTGCTCATCTTCTACACCCTGAATAGGCTCCTTCGTAAGGAGGATGCGAAGACTTTTGAGGTGGAGGTCCGGATGAATATCCCAGCGGAATACACTGAGATTGGTAAATAATCGATTTGATCACCAGGAAAAGAGAGATTTAGAGTTGAGCCAGAAGATAAAAAGACTCGCCCTTCTACCGCTCCGAACAAAATCGAACGTGGATTACGATATTACAAACCTGTAGAGGATACGATTCATGCCGCTTTAGTTTTATAACTGTTAGGGGCCATTGTTGATTGAGTTTCATCGCCATAACTTCATCTTCGGAGAGTTCAGGTTTCTTTGGAAGTAAGTTTAAAACAGTTTATGAAGAAGTAGAAAGAAAATGAGGTGATACAAATTCATTAAGAGTGGAGTGAAGAACATAATTGAATTGCTGAAGAAAGCGAAGCTGTAATGGAGATTTACTATATGGAACCTAGAAGACGAAGTGTCTCTGAAAAACAATCGACCATTTAGTCGGAGGGTTTGAGATGTGGGCTCGAACCGGGATGATCCTTAACATTATAAACCCATGAAAAAAGCCTATTGTTATACATTTTCTGATGACGTGGTGAAACTTTGTGTTCTTATTGGAGGAATATAAATGCTGATGTGGCAGCATGACAGGGAAGAATTATCTCCTTTTAATATAGTAAGATTAGTAACATGTAATATTTATGTATTTTGACTGCATGAAAAATAATTGAGTTCAACTTCAAAAACACTCACTTCACAAAGAATTGCAAGATACAAACCCAAGTGCTATGTGAGCAAGTCAGTAAAACTCATCAAGGACCCTAAGGTCGAGACTAACTGGTTCACGGTGGAGACAAAGCTAGACTCTACTGATTTGAGGATGAGTAAAATTGAAAAGAACCAACGATTTTTGAAAAAAAAGGGATAAGAAAATATTCTGGATGTTTAATATTAACTCAGTCTTGTAGTGAACTTATGTAAGATGTCTGTGTAAACCTATGTTTTATTGATGTGAAACCTTAGAAGTTTATTATTTTGAACTTGTATGATTGTGTTATAATAGGTTTGGACCACTAAGAATACAAGGTATTACTATGGCTAAAAAATTAAACTTGCATTACTAGATTTATTAGGTATTACTTAGAAATTATCAACACTTATATAAAAAATAAACAAATGTGCAATAAGTGTAATACGTGTAAAATATGTAACACGCTTTAATATGTAACACGCGTAAAATGTGTAACACGTGGAGATCATTCTCAATATATTTACACTTAGTATAATATCAAAGGTTGTAGTAATACTACGTTGTTCATAGTAATACATTTGCAAAATTTAAACATTTATTAGTAATACTACATCAAAATCAAATCTTTTGTAGTAAAACCAATCCATTTACACAGTTTAAGATTGAATAGAAAACACTGGTAGAAAAATATTTCAGAAAAAATGTATTTTATGTTATCACCTCATTATGGCCTTATCATAAAGAAATTAGTCATAGAAATATAATGATGATTTGTATGGAAATGATAATTTTTTATGGAGTTATGGAACTTATAGTTTAATGTCTAATTTGATAAATAAACACAAATATAAACATATAAATACAACAAATGTAAGTTACATCTAATAAAAATAAATAATAAAACGAAAATTTAAGTTTTTTAGGAACATGCATAATACAATTAGTAATTCTAAGAAATACTAGTAGTCTATATTACACATAGTACTTCTAAGAAGTTCTAAGTAATCCATATTACACATAATATAACATGTATGATGCTCGATAATTTTACAACTCTCACAAACCACTTGCAGCCTTCTTTGGCTCCTCTGTATTTTTATCACAAATCTCTTAGATTCATCTACTTTATCATTCATCAAATACGCTCAACCAAACCAGAGTAAGTGACCTCTTCCAGTCATTTCTTCAACATAATCGTGTGAATTTCCTCTTCTCATTTTGTATCTCCCGAGATCTATTTTATTTCAGCTCCATCATTCATATAATATCCCCCATAATAAAAAAAAAATTGATTGTGCTATGCGAATTTTACATTTTTCCTGAAATATAATAATATTATCATTAGAATTATTATTAAGAAATACAAATTAATTCTCACATCGTACATTCTTCTATTACTAATACTAATTCATTTCGACTATTATACAATATAATAATACCAATATACTAGTCGAACTTGTCTATATAGTAACCATTAATACTAGTAAAACTACTTGGCCATAATAATATAGTTTCTTTAGTAATACCCATAAATTTTCATTTTAAGAAATAATCTATTTTTTTATAACATTGTTAGGATTATACCATTACTATTATATTTACGACAATTTAAAATCCTACCATACTGCAGACCATGGAGTCTCCCATAAACAAAAGTTAAACTTTTTTTTTTGTTCAACAAAGTTTAAACCTAAACACAGTTTTCAAATTTGTTTTCAATCTCTCTGAATTTCTATCCAATCTTACATTATTTACATACCCATGATATATACTTCATTTTAATGATATTCTACAAAACAAATTCACCAAAATCGGACATAAAATGAGCCCAAAATGTAAAAATACAGTTATGAAAAAATATTTTTAAACTCTCACAATTTACATCAAATCTTACATATTTTATCACTTATGATAAAACTTCATTTTAATGATATTCGTAAAAAAAATCATCAAAAACGAATAAGAAATACTTCATTTTTGAGTTTGAAATTTTGTTAATGGAGAATGAGGAAACAACTTTCGTTTTGGAAAGAAGAAAGAGAGTTAAAATTGTTTGTAGGGTCCGGTGGTTAGAGATTTATGGTTGATTTATTTAATTGAAGAATTATATATAAAAATATATAAGAGAAGGTTCATTTGGGGAGTACAAAGATAAAAGAGCATTGAGAAAAGGGTAAAGGTAGTAGGAATGATTTTTAGAGGGTATATGGAATTATTCTCCGGCAGATAAACTCGACAAGGGAAACAACTTTAAACCAGCTTGTTTTTTAATATCATCACCGTTTCACGAGTAGATTTATTAAATCTTTTGTTAATTCAATCCGTAATTTTTTTTGTCTACACGATTAGTAAGATTTAAATCCACGCTTTAACTTTTAGGTTTATATTTTAATATAGAGAAAATTACTAGAATGTTATTGAAAAGTTGTAATATTAGCTGAATAATATATATCTTTTAAAAATTACTAGAACGTTTGGAGATCTTTAGTAATTGACAACTAAGATCTTTGGTTATTTTTTCTCATTAAGTTTATTTTAATTAACAAATCTATGTTACTAATTGCTATATCCATGTCACTAATAACTGTAATTATTGTGATAAAAAGAATGAAGGCAACTAAATTTTTTAACTTAACTTTTTGTATTGAAAAAAAACCCACAAGTTTCTTTATTCATCGTTTAAACCCTAATCTTTTGAGTTGACATTGTTGTTTATCTTTCGAAATACTCTAACTGGTTTCTCTAATAACGTTTTCGCCGAAATTGTCTTCTGTGTAAATGCAAGAACTATGACACAAATGTAAAGCACAAAGTACACCAGAGAATATCTCTACAAATATATGTGTATTTGCTAGTATTCTTTTAAACTGAACTTACAAGTCTCTCTCTAAACAAAATCTCAAGCCTCACACGTCCTAAGATCGAATAAAAGATCTTAGAACCTCTCCTCTTAGTTCTTAGTGCTTTCACTCGCTTACAAGCTTATGAAACCCACTCTTATGCTAAGAATACAACTCTAGTAACAACCCTAATAGCTAGGTCGTACAAGACTATATATACATTATAGTCAATTCGGCTACCCTAGCCTATCTACCCAATATTTACTAAATAACCAAAAATGGTAAGTTCCCAAAACTCATACTAAGTCTTTTGCAAACTTCCCATTTTTGAGATCTCCCTTCTCTAAGGTGAATCTCGTTGTGCTTGTTTTTCAGGTTTTTGTTTATGCTAACTTCAACTTGATCACCAAGCCATTCTTTAAGTTCTTATCTTGTTCATCCGCATGCATACACTATGTCGTAGACTCTGCTCCATTCGTTGTTGCACTTGCGTCTGTATCATGATGTCCACCTGATCTTTGCATCTTCATTCTCCGCAAGAACTTCTACGAAAATTTCTTCACTGCAATCACCTGAAATCATCTTCTTCGTTGAGTTTTTCGAGTTTGTGACTGAGTTTTATTTATGTGGTGGCTGAGTTACTATTATTTTATGGCTGGTTTATATATGCAGTTGTGACTGTTAATTCCTGCCAATCTCCAAAAACTTTCCTATGAGAAGTGTGTATTCTGAGGAGAAAAGACAAATACATTCCATAACACCCAAATTGGTAATTGTGAGATGTATTCATTTAAGTTTGTTTGTGATTTGATACCCAGATTTAAATAATCTAATTTTTTTTTCAGATCTGAAAGAGAAGATTGAACAAGAAGAGAATAGAGGACATGGAAAGAAGTAACGGATTCAGCAGAGATGACACGAAGAAGT